TTCCGTAGAGGAGGGAAACCCTTCAGGAAAAGTGGTATTTGTAGCAGCGTCAGTATTTTTTTTACAAAAATGCAGAGCCATTTCTCTTTTCAAACCAAGCATCGTGGGGACTCTACTAAACCGCCCTTGAAGTGAATTAGGAAAAAATACTTTCGACATTCAACTTTGATGGAATAAAAAGATGGTTAAATTTGAAAAAATGATAATTCACTGATATCGATTCTGAAATGGAGAATCAGTATCATAACAATGGCTTTTGGGTTGAACTTGACGTCTAAAATGCAGCTTTAAAATGGCATTGACAGTTTGCACTTTTAAATTTGAACGTAAAAAACGATTGGAATTATTTTTGACCAATTGATTTAGCATGCCAAGCTCAATTGAAGAATGCAATTGTCCGCTGTTGCGTCTCCATATCCGATGAAACATTGTGTTCTTTGGTTGTCCGGAATTCTTTGTTGCCTTTTTGTGCTCCAATCTCTTGTCAGTTCCGAGTTTATATCTTTAACAACCTTTCCCCATAAAGATTCCAACTCGTACACCCCAAAATATTTTGATGATAATGAAACTCCAGCTAGTCTGAGCAATAATTCTGACGTATCTTTCGCTGCAGAAAAAGCCAGAAATCAAGAAGGTAAAAGAGGCTTGAAAAAGAGATTAATAAAAGAAGACTCTGGCTCGGAGAAGCACAGACTTTCAACAAAACCTTGCGGAGCTTCAAGCGATTTGACGCGCCCGCTTTTAAACAAGTCGAGACCAGAAAAATCAACCATTGACGCAGCTGGTCCTGATATTTCGGATACTCCGGATAGTCCGCATACTCCCTTAGATGCCGCCATCCTTCGTTTATTTTCAGAAGGTTTACACAAAAATCCCAATTTGCATTATGACCCACCAGGGCCGCCCTTGCTGGATGCACCCAAGTTGATGCCAAATGACATGTCCATGTTATATTTCCTAAATAACTTGTCACTCATTCAAAATTTTTTCAACCAAAATCAGGGCAGCATGCCGGCTAAAGGTCTTCCTTATAATTTGGTTCCATTCTTGGTCAAGAGGAATGATGTCCCCTTTGCATCCAACTTGTCCCAAAATCTAAACCCCCCTTTTAGCGAGCTGGACTCTTCCTCTGCTGTTCAACATCCTTGGCATAATGAAACTATATTTACCAAGCCACTTCTTGACATGATGAAAGCAATTCTAGAAGGCCAAAAAAATCTTACCTCCGTCATTTCTCAATTGGGAAATTCCTCAATAACCCAATTGGAGGACCTGCGCTATTCCAAACTTTCCCCTGCCGCTATGTCGCCTCAATTACCACCATCTCCGCAGATTTCGCCGATCATGTTAGCCCCAACATCCGTGTTGCAAGCTTTGGCCTCACAATTGACATCTTACAAGCCTTCAATCCTTAAGCCTGTGCTTTTGGAACAGCCTTCTATGCAAGATTTTGAGCTCCAGTCCGGGTCCAAACCAATGACGTTCCGGGATATATTTTCTTCACGGCAGGCTTACTCTCAACCGATTTACCAGATTCAGCCCCGATCCGCTCCTAAAATGTATCAACCAACGGCACAGAATGTCTTCCAGCAAGACCCCTATTTCAACCCCACCAATGGTCGCCCAGACGCTGGGCTATATCCTCAACTTGGCTGGGGCCCACTTATATGATACGGCACATTATCTGATATGATTCTGTAGATACTTTCCTATATTTATTCAGTGTTCGATTTAGTTCGCAACCTGCGATGATGCTCCGGGTTCCGCCACCGGTTCTGAAGCCTGCAGTTCAGATTTTTCAGCGTCTACTGGAATAAAATTTTAATTTTTGCGTACCTCCCCCCTCGTGCATATCTGAGGTCCATAGAGTCAAATTGTCGCGAAGCAATTGCATAATTAGGGTACTGTCTTTGTAGGACTCCTCTCCAAGAGTATCAAGCACCGCAATCGCATCATCAAACGCCTGTTTTGCAAGTTGACAGGCCCTGTCAGGAGAATTTTTTATCTCATAAAAAAATACGGAATAGTTTAAGGCCAACCCAAGACGGATGGGGTGCGTTGGAGCAAGGTCTTTTTCTGAAATATCGGTAGCCATCTTATATGCGTCGTGGGACTTTTCCGCGACATCTTTTTTTTCATCCTCCATCAGAAACTCAGCCAAGTAGCGGTAATAGTCGCCCTTCATTTTGTAGTAAAACACCTTTGATTCGCCAGTAGAAGCTGCTGGAATAAGATACTTTTCAAGAACCAACAAAATATCCTGACAGATATCATTAAGCTCCTTTTCGACCTTTGCTCGGTAATCTCGTATATCTTTCAGACGGGATTCAAGAACAGGGCTATTACCAGAAGATGATGCCCGGATTTCCTCTTTTTGCTCGATGGAAGAAATTATCCTCCATGAGGCTCTTCTTGAGCCAATCACATTCTTATATCCGACTGAAAGTAAATTGCGCTCCTCAATTGTAAGCTCCAATCCAAGCTCCGAAACAGACTTCATGTGGGATACCATTTCTAGATAAAAAATGATAAAATACCATCATATCTTTCAGCTTGTTCGGCTAGTTTAGCAAGATACACATGATGATCGCGCTGTGAGGACATAACAGGCAAAAACGAAGATGGGAAATAAACTTAAAAAGTACAAATCACTGTAATGCGATCAATCGCAAGGCGCGAAAATAAAATTTAAAAATGATCAGAGCGAGGTTCGAACTCGCGCCCCCGAAGAGATGGCGGCCTTAACGCCACGCCTTAGACCACTCGGCCATCTGACCTCAACAAAATGGGCTACTTATAATAATTTAATCCATATAAGAATCTAAAACAAACTGCATGGGTTTAATTTTAAATTTTTAATGGCCTTGAGACGAATCCAGAAGGTACTTGTTGTCATATTTTATTTTTCTTTCGTAGGAATTGAAGGATATGACAAATGATCCTCCCGACAAGTGCAGTGCAGGTCCAGTTGAGAGTGATCGTATGTTTTTCGTCTATTTATCGCAGTATTCCATTGGCAAGCGTCCATTATCGGCCCCTCTGATAGCCCCTTCGAGGGGGGTGTTTTTTTCCTCTCCGTGCACTTTCCGGTGGATTACCCGTTTAAGCCTCCAAAGGTGACATTTACAACAAAGATCTTCCATCCCAACATTAACAGCAATGGCAGCATTTGTCTAGATATATTACGGGAACACTGGTCCCCTGCTCTGACAATCAGCAAAGGTGAAAGGCATTAGATATTCTCATCGATAGTTTTATTATCCATTTGTTCGCTTCTCACCGACCCAAATCCAGAGGACCCCCTTGTTCCGGAAATTGCGCATATCTTTAAAACGGATCGCCAACAGTATATTGAAAAGGCCAAGGAATGGGTCAACAAATATGCAAAATAAAGTGTTACATTTTAATATATAAGGATATCTACTATAATACAGGATGGCTACACAACAAAGCAACCGATGATCATTATAAATCCGAGCCAGCGAGCTGTCCATTGGTATTGGTTGACATGTGCTCTTGAGAGGATCGTTCGTCTTCAGGCTCAAACTTGGGCTCGTCGCTGTTCGGGTGCACAGGGCATTTCACAGGGGTCTCCGATGAACAGTATTTACAAGAAAGACCATCGGCCGCATCTTGGAGCTTTTGCACGCCCTTGGCCAAGGTGGCCTTGATGCTTCTAATTTTGAGCGGATATCGAGTTGTAAACCAGGTTATATAGTTTTGAGCCTGCTCGCATGTCAATCCATTTGACGATAGGAAATATGAAAACTAAAAATTAATTGCGAAAATGGGGTACCATTGACTTTGTATGATCCGAAAAATGGATCAACTCGTTAATCCATGTGCTAAATTTACAAACGATCACGGAAGTGAATGTGAAAAGTGCATATGACGAGAACCCTATGGATGGGTAAAAACAAGGACACTTGCCTTCAAAGCCGCAGAATAATAAAAGATGCTGTATAATGAATTTGACCTGGTTCCTAATCCCAACAAGAGGAAATTGCTGTTGCGAGACTACAGATAAAAAGTCTTGCGCCTTGTGTCGGAACTCTTGAAATGAAGCAATAGAGAGATCGAGATTTGTGCAGGAAATTGGAATCTTGGCGACTGACACCTTCTCCTTCAAGGCGAAAATGTTATTTCTCAGCCGACGACAAGCAGCAAGATCTTCAATTACATTAAGAAAAGTAGTGTTGACATGTGATCTGTACTCGGGATTTTTTTGCGGAGTTTGACGCAGCTCTTTAAAGGAAAGAACCGGCAGCCCGTTAAACAGCGAATAAGGATTGTATTCGGGCAGACCAACCAAGAATGAAGATTTGTACTCGGAGGGAATTTTAAATTTGCACGAAATTATCTGTGAACGTGGTGACGACGAGAATTGGCTGTCCATCGACAAGAATTGGCTGTCCATCACTTTGGAGTCTTTGCCACTTTTGATGGTTTGTGGAGGGGTGCTTTTCAAAAAGCAAAACGAGTCAATGATATTACTCGTATTTTTTGACAACGCGATAGATGGACGAGCGGAAAAGTAATATTCAATCCACATGTAATCAGAGGACCTAAATACACTCGCATTTAAATAAGGACACTCCAAGTCATAACTAGAAGGCAGCTGGCGGCAAAGAGATGAGATCAGCTTTCTTCGAAAAGTGAAAAACCTCATCCGCTCTTCCAAATGGCAGTTGGGTGCGAACAGCGGTGTGGAAAGCTCATTCCAAATCGAATAATAGGACGAAAATATCCGTTTTTCCATTTGTGGTCTGTCTGCAAAGGCATGGGTTTCTTCAGGAAACTTGCCACAATGGTTTAGTTGAGCTGAGACGTCAGTGATGGCATTGTCAACAAGGTAAACTTTGATATCTGGGACCGATTCAAGAAGATCCCTGGCTTTCTCCAAGAGCTGATCTGCATACTGTCGGAAGATGTTATTCTAAAGATAATAAGCTACAATCACATACTTCGCCTTGGTTAAAAAGATAGCAATTGCTATATATCAGCATGATATCGTCGAAAAACTCGGCCTTCGACCAATAGGTGAGATTTTTTAGCTTTTTGGCCATCGTACCCAAGTCCATAGGATTCGTTACGACATTGTAATAATTGGGCACATCTCTTTTGTTGACTCTGGATAAAAATGGCGTCGCAGCCGGTGTAAAGCTCTTCAAAATATTAAGGGTCGTTTCAAGACGGGGGTACAGTTCATCCTGGCCAATACGATCGTAAGAGCTCTACAAGTAAAGGAGACAAGCACAAGTACCCATTTAGACTTTTGGGCCCGCGTTTCAAGAAGGATATTAACCAGGGCAGACTTGAAGTCTTTCCTTTTCAACTTGGAAACTTGTATAAAGGGATAAAGCCGAAAATCGACCTCGGTCATTGATGCCTTTGATACTTCTTCCTCCAATGTTCCTGTCAATGGAATTGCGTCGTGGAATTGCAATTTTTGCAATTCCTGCTGTTCATCCTCGAGCTTGGCCGTGATATTTTCGGGTGTGTGATCACTTTTTAGCGAATCTAATAAAAATCGGGAATTAATAGATAAATTGAGGGATGAAAATTTTGAAAGGCCGAGAACGTCGTTGACAGATTTCTTTTTCCCGGTGGCCTCTTCTTTTTTTATCTGGAAATAAAAATACAAAAATACCGGCTTCATGTTGCTAGAAAAATATTTGTAATCCAACAGCTCCTCTTCAAGAGTAAGAAACTCGGGCGCTCCTATTAATTGATCCAATTCATCCGTCGCAAAGTAGTCTACAAAATAATTTCAACGCAACGAATACTATTTAGACAAGAATTAATAAAGAAAATATGACGACACTCATCACTGTCTTTGGAGTGTGGTATCATATGAAAATAATATTGCAAGTCAATGCAGTTCAATTAAAGCACAATGAAAATTTAAAAAATTGGTTTAATCTGCCGTGTGTTTTTGCTCACTCAATGGCCTTTATTTGGGAGCAAATTGTTCGTAGCATCGATATGCGCTCCCTGATATCGGCCGCTGGAAGCGCTTCGCCGGTTAAATTTAAAATTCTCTTCACTCTGCAAAATTGATGGTGCTTAATTGCAAATGTGCCGTGATACTTTCCCCACTTTGCCGAGTTGACACTTACCAGCCCATCATTTGGGCCCTCTTTGTTTAGAACCAAGTGATAGTATTGCTTATAGGGCCAGTTTTCTAAATCCTAAAGATCAGGTGAAAAACAAGGCATCGATACAATGCTTGAAATATCGCCACCCACAGAGAAATATTGTATTTCCGGTGCATTTAGCACATTTTGGTTGAACGAATGTTCCATGAAATCCGGGCTCAAGTGGTACAGTGTATGGAAAAGATTTTTGTATACAGAAAACTCTGGGCCACTGCGGCTATCAGAAAACGAGACAAAGGATGGATGGGCTCCAGAATCAGACGAAATGCTTGCATTCATCAATGTGCTAACCCAAAAAAAAAGAGACCGCAATAAGAATTCTCTTTTGGAGACATAATCCTGGCTCAAGTTAAACCGAAAGTCTCGCTTGGATAGCAAAAAATCACACCATAAATTGGCCATCATTGAGCCTCGGTGTGGAGACGAAAGAGTTGTAATGGAAGCAATGTTGAACTTGCTGTTTGGGCCGACATTAAGAATGGAGGCCAGATAGCGAGCATCCAAACCCCCCATGGAATGTCCAATCATATGAAAGGGCGTTTTTCTTAACACATCTTTTGAATCAATAAATCGATAAAGCTCATTGGCGCGAATATGAATTGGCGCAAAAGGTGGCACTTTAGCTATGAAAATTGGAGTGTTATTTGAAAGAAGAAATTCCTAATTCAGTACACTATGGGAGAGAGCTCTTACGTGGACGCCTTCCCAATATGGGATTTGCCATTTTTTAAAAGATTTTAATCCTAGTCCCTTAAAAGGCTAAAATACCGATGACATCGAATCCAAGCAGCCCTTGCATAAGGTAAGAAAGCGATCACGGTACCATGACAAAGCACCACTGGGAGCCTTGGGAAATCGCTGTTAGGCATTTGTAAAAGATGAAAATTTTAAGTTTAATGGGCGACCAATTTCAGTTGATTAGAGATGTTCACTCGAAGAAGCTGCCATTATCTGCATTGCATGATATCTCTGCAGATTCGTTTGAGCGTGACGAAGTAAGTAGGCTCTGCTTAGGCGTTTAGGACGGGCGATCGCCGCTGCATCATGCAGCTTCGTTGAAGGATCATGAAATTGTTGCTTTTTTTCTGTCTAATGGCCATTCTCCTGCTACCAAGGATGACGAGGGATGGACCTCTCTTCACATCGCGGCCTCTCAAAAGGATATTGGCACTTCAAAACTGCTGCTGGCCACCTCAAGTGCGGATCAGCCCGCTCTTGTTGGATTTGTAAACATTCAATCGTCCTCTGGAATGACTGCCCTACATTATGCATGTTCAAAGCAATCCATTGAGGTTGCACACATTTGATCTTATCTTAGCTCGTGAGTTTGCTCTTGAACGCGTCGGCGGATCCCAAAATCAAAAATAACTTGGGCCAAAATCCTGCACATCGGGCCGCAGCGGTGGGCAATCTCGATATCATCAAAATGCTGCACTCAACGTGCCCATCGAGCATCAAAGAGACAGATAGCGAAGGAAGCTCTGTTTTGTAAAATAAGCGCTCGAATAACTTTCATAGGGAAATTGCAAATGAAAATGGACATCACGATTTGGCCGCCTATTTAGAAAACATGATAAACCACTAAATACCAAACCCAGTGTAACATTGCCATTTTTAATCATAATAACGCTAAGATCGCCAGGAATCTTCTGACGACGATGACGCGGCTGGGAAGTTCGGTTTCGCAGACCGGAATGTTCGTGGCTCTGGTCTCCAACCGGAACCGTCTTTATTGCCAGAGTCAATTATGGGATCGGTCCTGCGGCTGATTTCAACTGTATCGGTGTTCCTTTTGAAAGAATTGGAGGGACCTCTAGTACTTTCAGGGAAAAAATTGGAGGAAGTTCTAGCCACTTCGGTAAATGAATTAGTTGAATTTCTAGTAATCTCCGGAATATCTGCAGACTTTTTCTGGAAAGAATTGTTTTGCCTAAAATCAGAATCATAAATTGGATCGGATCTTCTCTCGATTTCTAGACTTGAGGTAGGATATTTTGATGAAAATGAACGCCTAAATTAAAGATGACAGCTTACTTGCTTCCTTGGAACGAAGAGGACGAAGAATGAAACGATTCTTCCAATGGTTCAGTGCGACGAGAAATTTCTGAAGACGAATTTTGATTTCTAGAAAAGTTGCCGACAAAGGATCCCTTTCCAGAAGACTCGGAAATGTCTATCCTAATTTTACGGGATCCAATTTCGAGCTTTCCATTCAGATCCAAGGCTCTCTTCAAAGACTCAATGTCCTCAAACTCTACATACCCATGGCCCTTTGGCTTATCATCGACTTTATCACGGACCAGCTTAATGGTTACAATAGATGAGGCAGGAAACGACTTTACAATATCATCTTTTTGGATATCAAACGGAAGATTTCCAATATAGGCCGTGAATGGAGGGGAAGATGGAAGCTTGCTCATGTCAACGGGAGCAAACAATTCAGAACGAAAGCTAGTGGAGGAGGTGGATCCAGAAGACGACATAAATTGGGATCCTGACGGCCCGCTTGGAAGAAGAGATGACGCTGATGGAAGAGGACTGGAATCGACCCAAGAACCGGTGTCCCCGCTACCAGAAACTAAAATATGAGACAAAACTCGTACATGAAAGCGACTGAAACTCGGAGAGGCTCAGCGTTTGAGCACCTTTTTTCTTCCTTCCACCACCGGGAACGGCCTTGTGGGACATGATTTTAAAAAAAGTTGCATTGTGCAAACAAGTTACTTTTTACAAATAAACTTTATTTGTCCCCATAATGACACCGTTGAGTAAATTGCTCTCCACCAGATATACTGGATTTGTCATTGGAGCCTCTTTATTTTCAACTATTCTTTATGCCTCCAACGATACCAATAATATTAGGGTCTTTTGCGACGAAATGAGAGACATATCCAAACGGCTGATCACGGTGACGCCAGAGGCAACGCTTTTTCTCTTTGGAGACAACTATTATGGAGTTGCTGATCCTCTTTCAGATTCGCTGTCAATCAAATTTCCGCAGCAAATCAACATTTCCGGCTCACGATCCCTAAGTAGCCTGAACTATACACTTGCTTCTCTCTATGAATCGCGGCTATCTCTTTCTGAATTGAAAAATTTGTTCGGGTCAAGGATCAAAGGAGTTGCAATGGCCAAAAAGCATGCAGCTTGTATCGATCCATCTGGAGATCTTATTCAATGGGGGCACGGATTTAATGGCCTCATAAATTTCATAGAAAATGCACCACAGCTAGAAGACTCTTCCATCCTCTCCACATCGCCTGTTTCGCCTGCAAAAAGAGACATCATCATCAGTGGGTTTGAAGGCCCTGAATATATCAACAGAAGCCCAGAACCTACTATTGTTGGCCATAACTTGGTCCTTGTTGCCACGACAAAAGAACACATCATAGCTGTCAATGATGAGGTATTTTCTCTATCTAAGTGTAGCAAAAATTGTTTATCTCGGATGGAGTAAGAGAAAAACCATGGCTAAAAAAAAGCCCATCCATCAGCTGTGACTCTATTGAGAGCTCCTCCGCTCCCTCTGGAGCTTTTGGCTGGATAAAGAACTGGCTATTCACTGCATCTTCCAAACCCTTCGTTGCCGACACGGTTCAAATCGTAGATTTGCCGTTTTTGTCTAAAACGGAAAAGTAAAGATGTTTCGGTTATCATAGGATCGTGCAACTAGTTTCTGGCGATCATCATGTGGTTTTACTATCCAACCATGGAAATGTATTCACAATGGCTATCGACACCCATTCCAACATGTTTGGACAACTAGGATACGATTCTTTAAAGAGCAAAGACAGCGATCTTGATGCTCTTGTCCTCTTCAAGGTGCCATCGCCAGCACAGCAGCTAACCACAGGCGAAATGATTCAAAATGCCATCGAAGCGTCGGATTCCCTATTGAGACCGAACCCAAAGAAGCTAAAAGGCCAAGAACCGCAACGCATCAAATGGAGAGACTCTATTGCGGAACTTGATGGTTCCACAGCGGAAAGACTGCATAGACCTCTCTTCTGTAAAGTCGACCTTGGAAACAAGATAGCCGAAATAGCTGCAGGAACCCATCATACCCTTCTGCGAACAGCTTCTGGACAAGTCTGGGGATTCGGTGCAAATGGATATGGGCAACTTGGGAAGCTTCTTGGAGTGGTCAACATGACTCCTATTGTCGTTAATGCGCCATTTTCAACGCCAATCACGGGAATATGGGCAGGCGGTGACACATCTGCATTCTTAACCGAATCATCACCGGGAAACCTGGCAGAATGTTACACAACCGGTGCAGGCATGTGGGGTCAACTTGGCAATAATTCTTTCCGACAATGTCAGTTCGAAATGGTCCCGGTAACCGATATTTCTCGCCTTTCTTATTATAACGAAAGTACTGGAAGGATTTCTCCAATTGCTCTCAATTCTCTTTCTATTGGAAGAACTCATCTTGCGGCTACTATGCAAACCAGAGTAGATAATGACGGAGTACTTCCTCGATTTGGATTTAATGTTTTCACGTGGGGATCCAACCATGCCTTTCAGCTTGGAAATGGAAAAAGAGCCATGGCCTCCAAACCCATTCAACCAGATGCTCTTCCCGTCATTCAAGACGAATTCACCAAAGATGGGATACAGGAACATGAGCGGGCCACTCCCTCCGACCAAAAGGTAGGTCTTCAAATATTTCCTGGAATTCTCAAAAAAGGCAGTGAAGAATATGTAGTTCCACCTCAACGCATCATCTGCGGCGTCGATACCACGGCAATTTTCTAGATGCACTCTAGCTGTATTTGCAAACTTTCAACTAGAACATTAAATGACAACTTTTGCTAATAAAATTGCAAAATAACAATTTTGGGAGTAGTTTTCATTTTGAGGTTTGACGCTTTAGACACGATATGATGGGCGGTCTAGCTGCACCAACCTGCCATAACAGTGAACGCCAATGGACAATTTCGGACTTTGAAATTGGAAAGCCTCTTGGCAAGGGGAAATTTGGACACGTGTATTTGGCCAAAGAAAAATCATCTGGCTACATTGTTGCTCTGAAAATGCTCTTTAAGAATGAGCTGATCTCTGCCAACGTGGAGAAGCAACTTAGGAGGGAAATAGAAATACAATCTCATCTCAGGTATCTTGCCGATTTTATTTTTGCAGGCATCCCAATATTCTCCGGCTATATGGATACTTCTATGATGAAAAGCGGATCTACCTCATCTTGGAATATGCAGCCCAAGGCGAACTTTACAAAATCTTATGTTCCAAAGGAAAATTTACCGAGCCAGAAGCAGCAAAGGTATGGGGGTTATTTAATATCGAACTAGTATATTTGGCAGCTGGCAAGTGCATTGAAATACCTCCATTCGAAACATGTCATCCATAGAGACATAAAGCCGGAAAACTTGCTTCTCGGTCTCCAGGGCGAGGTCAAGATTGCCGACTTTGGATGGTCTGTCCACGCCCCAAACTCAAGGTTCCAAGTGGTTTTTCATTTCTTTAGACGAACCACTCTTTGTGGGACACTTGATTATCTCCCCCCAGAAATGGTCTCAGGCAGGGAACATTCGACCTCCGTGGATCTTTGGGCTCTAGGTGTATTGCTTTTTGAGTTTCTCGTGGGAAAGCCGCCATTTGAAACGGAAGGCCCCAACAGAGCAACTTATGCCCGGATAGCCAAAGTGCAGTACGAAATGCCGTCCTCAGTTTCAAAAGATGCACAAGACCTTATTAGAAGCCTACTTCAGGCTAATCCAGAAGATAGGCTCCCATTGGATGGTGTTCTTACACATCCGTGGATCAAAAGTAGTAATTAAATTTAGGGATACTTGGATTTACTTTAGAAACCAATTTTTCCTGTTGAGGGCATTGTATTCCTTCGTCAGCAGATCTATTTGTGCAAATGATGCAATTATTACCTTTTAACTTGAGCGATTTTAAAAACTCATCATAATAATGACTTGATAAGGCAACCATCTGCGCTGAATGAAGAGTAAGGCCCATCGGCACTGTGTTTGTGACTGTTTATTAAAATTAAAATTAACATTTAGCCTGAAGTTTGTTTCCTTCTCTGACTCTTAGAATTCCCAAGCGACGATTTGCGTCTAGTGCCTTTCCTGCTTAATGGGCTTTTTTCATCTTCATCATTTGGGCTTGTTTCAAGCTGCGTATTCTCTGTGCTTTCTTCAAATCTACAAGGGCTTTCTTTGGCACTATTTTCTAGATGATTTTCATCGTAGGGCTCAATTTTTTCCATTCTTTCCATATTTTCTACTTTTTCCATTTTTTCCACCTTTTCTTCGTTTCCAAGGGCCTCGTTTTCAACATTACAAATGGGACATTTATAGACTATAGTTGAAGCTCTATGATATGGAACCATTCCATTATGTGACTTGCACGTTCTGCATATAAGGGCATATACTGGCAGGCAAGTCGGAAAGCAGCCCGAGTGTGAAGTTGAGGGGCGACCTGCTTCAGAAATGAACTCCCCGCCATATTCATATACGTCACCTAATAGTAGATCTATAATCCGATCTATCCAGCATCTAAATAAAGAATTAGCTTGGATACTACCTTCTGTACGATATCGATAACGATGGGATATTCAACAACGAGGAAGGCTCTTCTTGTGTTGTCAAGATCTGTTGTTGGACGGACAAAGCTTTTTGTCCCGCTTTTGTAGGTGTGACATCGGCTTCAATATTCTCTCTATTGATTGATATGTTGCTTGCTTTAAAGGTAGCGTCAACAAGCGGCAACTCGCGCTGGTATTTGCCCATCATACCCAAAACGGTAACCGCATTTGAGGTTTCAAGAATATCTGAAAGTATTGAGGCTTGTTTTTTTTTCAAGCCCTCCATTTTCTTTTGCAAATTCGAGATCTTTCTCTCGATCCACTTGGTTATAAGTAGGTGAAAGAAATAAAAGCTACAATGTTAGACATAAACGCCAAATTACACAAATGGAAAAATAGCAAAAAATAGAAACCACTCGAAGAATAAAAAGGAAAGCGGCAATTCTCGACGGCGGGAAGTTGAGTTACCGTGATTCACAAGAAAATCCACTGGGATGAGAAGCAAAATAGAGAATAAAGATCTCTGGGGTCTTTTGACGGAGGAAGATAAGTAGAATATGGGATCGCTTTCCATTGTTTTTAGGGCATAGGCAACATCCAACCACAAACAAAGAAGGCAAATTGAAACTGCAAAAATTGTTGAGAGAAAGAAGATCCGTTGCATTTTCTTGCTCAGTTTCTCGGAATATTCAATTTCTTCCCTAACATCAAGAACCTGTTGATCCAAAATTTCGAGATTTTTCTTGGACTCGACTGTGAGCGAAGTGATAGACCTTACTTCCCTAAAAAAAGGCCAAAACTTTAATGAAATTATTGAGAAAATAACACTCCATAATGACATAGCAAAGACCGATGGGGCAGAGACAAATAAATTTTATAAATTTCCAAAAGTTTAATGCTCATTGAAGTGCCCCCTTTTTGTGCGTCACATGTTCTCGCTCCTGCCTTGAACAAGCTGAAAGTGGAGCCATGGTACGTCCTTCCTGCTACGCGAGCCACATTAAATTTGCAGGCATGCTTAGAGGGCGGTCAGGCCTTTAACTGGGTTAAGGTTGCAGATGAGCACTGGGGATCTGTCATAGACCGTTCTATTATTTTGCTTTCCTATAGCTCCTGTGATAGGGTGATTTTTCATCAAACGGGCTCGATTTCTCCTGAAAATGCATACCACTATCTTTTTGATTATTTCCGCCTAAATGTAGCCGTGCTTTTGACAATTATTTTTAGGTTTCCCTAGATGAGCTTATCATCAAATGGCGATCAAGCGACAAGTATTTCGACTCCATTTGCGATACTTTCGAAGGGATTAGAATATTACGACAAGATCCACTGCTAACCCTGCTCTCTTTTATTTGCTCATCCAACAATAATATCTCGCGTATTACCAAAATGGTCCAGTCCTTGCATGTAAATTTTGGAACTCCTCTTGATAGCAAGGAAGCGCTTTCTTTTCCCTTGCTTTCGTATGCTTTTCCGACAATTGATCAACTATCTGCCGGCATGGCCACTTTAGAAACTAAATTGAGAAACTTGGGCTTTGGCTACCGGGCAAGGTTCATTTCCGAAACAGTCAAATTGCTTTCCGAACTTGGTGTTTCCGCTCTTTATCAGCAAAGAGAATCTTGCTCATATGAAAACGTTGTTGCTTTTCTTCTTCAGTTTCCGGGAGTAGGAAGAAAGGTTGCCGATTGTGTGGCTCTTTTTTCTCTAGATCGATTAGATGCCTTTCCAATTGATGTTCACATGTACAAATTAGCTTTAAAGATCTACTTCTGTTCACCGGGTACCTTGAAGAAATCTACTCTAGCAGAATCTGAGTATAAAAAGATACGCGAACACTTTTGTAACCTATTTAAAATTTATCCTGGATGGGCCCAATCTGTCCTTTTTACGTCGCAGTTGAAACGATTTTCACCAGAAAATACCAATTTATTAAATAAATAAATAAATGAAAACCCCCAACCGCCTCAGCGTGGCAAAAAGAGACCAACTTACCAACAATTTTAGACAAATAAATGGGTTCAGTCGCATTTTTCCAATAATTTTCAAAGCAATTTTTCATCTGTTTTCTCTATGCTTTTTTCAACACCCATAGACAGTAGGAGATTGCAACATAAAAACGAAAAAGTTTAACGCAAATAAAATTTTCCGAGTGATAGATGGAGAGTGACGTAAATTAGTTAATGATGGCCGCTTATAAATCATCCATGTATTATTAGAGATATTATAGGACACGAGTCCCAAACAGAGGAACACCAAATACAACTCTGGAGGTTACTTTGAGGGAAAAAGATGTGCCCCTTTTGATTAGGTCCGATTTTTTAATCATTTTGGCGCAGCCTCATCTTCTTGCAAGTGGTGACATCATCGGATGGAAAATCTGAATTAAACCGACCAGTTTTAGAATTAAAGGGCCTTTTTACAGATATTTTGAGGATGAATAGCTTTCCACCGAAATACTGGCATTTATAACAAGATCTGCCAAATGGCATCTGATTTTAGCCCTAAACTTTGATTTTATAGCCCTCAATAGCTTCAATGAGGATATCCTTTTAAATTTTCTTGCAAAGTATATCCATTGCTGCAGCATCAGGTCATTAGCTGACATAAGCCCCAAAATCAAATATCTAACAACCTTCATAGAGGTATCTAAAAGATTTACCAAACCAATGATACTGCCAGAGTATGCTAGATAGTGAAGCATCTCTTCCAAGTCAAATTCGTCCAGATTATAGATGTTTACAAGTGCAGGAAAAAAGAAGAAATGGGAGGCATCTCCGAGATTTTCGGAAACATCGTTCATTGTGGCAAATACCTTTTATTTGCCGAAAATATCAACAAAAACCGAATACTTCGTGTATGAATCATTTAAATTAAGCGCATCAACAACAGTTTTTGCAAACTCGTTTATAAATCTAGCTCTTAGATTAGGAAGTTTGGCATCAGATATTCCAAAAGATGCATAACGCTGTGAAATGGGTACATTTGGATCTTCAAGGTTTTCATAAATCTCTTCCTGCTCTTGAACAAATTGCTGTTCTTGGATGGATTGGACAACAGTCTCGCTATCCAATGCAGGATTATTGATAACTGATGGGATCAAAGATATTTCAAAATTTCGGAAAAATGTCTGCACTATTTGGCTAGTTTGAAAAAATTTTAAAATGTCACGCTTTGGGATTCTTTAAGAAAAAAGATCCATTTAAGCTGATCAATCGATTTTTGATTGTTCAGGTTGATAATACTGTCCCAATTGGGAATCGAATTAGCTGCAGAATAAGCGGGACAATAAAAGCTCTTAAAAACCCCGGAAAGGAATGCTTGCCAGGGTAAAAGAGCTCTCTCTTTATGATCTCTCTTGAGCTGACTCAGATGAGCAAAAGTAAAAACTCTTTGCAAGGAAGCCTTGTTATCGGCCGATATAAAATATGGAAAAATTCTTCTTTCGAAGATAACTCTTTTTTATCATCGTTGCTCGGTTTTGAAAAAGCAGTTCCTTCCTAGCGTTCAACAGGCATTGAATGCTGTTGATCAAAGACACGAATACATCGCCGCGGTGATGAGCCATTGTAAGATCACAGTATAAATTGCGCAGATACGGTTCGCTGTATCCATAGGCCGATCTTTCTGTTTTGAATTCGAAAACTCTTTTCCCGAAAAAGTTAAAAAGCCATCGCTGCAGTTGGATAATGTTCTGATTGAGGATAGAATTGGGAAAAATGAAGATAGGCAGTTTTCTCAAAATCGACGTTGCCAAGATTTCGGCAACCGGACCAAAACGCGCGGGTTTTCCCCCAGCCATTCCCTGTTGCACGACATAAAATCTTCCATGCGTCATTTTGTCTACAATTTTAGACATAATTGTCTTCTGTTCTTCATACAAGAGAGATCCTGTGAAAAACTCGATGAGAATAAAAACTTTGTCCTGCACAGTGACGACTAATGGTTCTTTAGGCAAATATCCCTCTTTTTGAGTAAAAGCTTCCCTTTTCCAGACCCAGACTTCGCAAAAAGTATTTTTTGCAAAAGGGGAGACTTACAATAAAAAAATTTTATGAAATGAGACCACAAAATATCAAGTAGCTCGTGAATGTTTTGATCACCAAGTGTGAAAAAGGTCCAAAGTTCCTCAATCGACCCAAAAAGCAATATTTGGCCAAGAAGCATTGGGTATTTCAACGCTCTTATGGGAAACCTAGAGAGAAGTTCATCAGTAAATACCATTGATTTCAATGTCTCTTTAAGAGAATCAGAATCACTAAAGAACGTAAACTTCACATCTGCCTTGAAAAAATCAGATGAAAGAGCTTTCCTTTTCGTGGATATGCTTAGGAGATTCTCATATTCATGGGGAGGCGATCGGAGCGTTTCATCAATCCTCTTTAATTCATCATAAGGAGAAAATAATTGAAATCCCATCAATGATTGATAAATGTCGAACATGTCATAGGGGACTCTTTTTTCTTTCAAGTCAGAAAAGAAGGTTGAGAGTTTTTTAAGATCACTTGACGTATTGAAAACTACGAAAAGGACATGAAATAAAGAAACAAATTTGTATTTTTCTCTATTTTTCTCCATTTCAAGATAAAATCGTATAAAATTGAGATATGGAGAATCTATTTTATCGAAAAAATCAGGTAAACCTTTGGATGATCCAGCTAGGTGATATAGAAAAGAGAGACAACTTGGAAAGAAAAAATTCTGAAATTCACACCAATGGGTCAGTTTTAATTCCAAAGGTGCATAATAAGAATGTTCAGAGTCAGCATCTTTTATAGCCTCCTTGAGTGTGGGGATATCTGGTTGTATTTTTGAAGAACCTCGAAAACTACAATCGAGTTCCAAGTTGTTAGAATATGTCCAAAGATATTTATTTTAATTGATGTTAGGAAAAAAGAAGCCTTTTATACTTGAATGAGATAACAGGAATGAAATTTGCAATTTCGTTAATAATTTTGACCTTATCCTCGTCATTCAAGGAGAGCTTGAAAAGAATTTCATTTTCATTAAGTAGATTGTTTGTCCAGGTTTGTATCACATGGTAGTAGAGATCACGGTATTTAATTTCAAGGATATTTCGCAAAATAACCAATTCAAGCTCACTGAGTCGAAAAGAAACACTCGTGTATAAGGAAACGTATTCCATAGCCTTGTCATAGTACCTTAAAAGCACAAGCAGGTAGAAGATGGCAAGTTCGATCTCTCGATCATGGCCTTCAATGTTAAAATGGTCATCTTTACACGTGGCCTTGAGAAAAGTAAAGTTGTATGAATTTCCAGGTGGTGAAAAAGGTACCGGAATAATAATGTGGCAAGTCTGTCCAACGGAAACAACCAAAAATAGCAAGTTTGAGGAGGCGAAAAAAATTCTTTTATGTCATCAGGAGAGTGGATCTTGAATTTATGATTTTTGATTTAAAAAATGCCCTTCACTTCCTTCGTTCATAGTGTAAAAGTTCTTTGCTGGGCCATTGTAGCTATCGAAGAAATAAAAGGATTGAGCTTTATTTTCTAGTGCGAAAATGTGCGAGTCCAATGTAAAGTTAAAAAGCATCCCGCGCGTTGAAAAGCACCCCGCGCGTTGAAAAGGCATAAAGTAGCGATTTCGATGCCTGAGAGAAAGAGCACAACAAATTTATGTGAAAACGAAGACAATTTGAAGAGGATAACTCCCCTATTGATTTGGCTGCACTTTAAACACCGGTGTACAGCTTTTTATAATTTAATTAAAATTTACGTAGCATGCAAAATCGACTGATGGATTTTTATTTTAAGCTCCGAATGATTTTCTGCAAACGTATTTTGTTTGTGCTATTTCTATATAAGATTTCTGCAGCTACATCTCAAGTAGATTTGGTTTCTAAACTTTCGCTAGAAGAAACAGATCAACCTCAGGAAGTGACGGTAGGGTATGTAATAAAACAAACGCTTACTGAAGTAAGCAACATCAAATGCAGCATGATACATTTGGCATCCCTGGTTAGTCGTGAAGGCCCTATGGGTCAAGAACTTTTAGACACAGTAGAATTTACCAAAATGGCGAAAACTGATGAAGAAGAGCTAAGGCGTGTAGCAACAGAATATTTTCTGATTAAAGAGTTTTCGGAAACATTCAAACCATCTTTTATTGAAAGAGAATTTTCCATTCAAAAAAAACTTCAACATGAAAACATTGTTTCTGCTTACCATGTGCATGAGAATAGGATATTTATGGAATATGTAAAAGGATGCGATTTAGTTGATATCCCTGAAGATTGGAAGGAAAATCTAAAAATATTCGCTTATATTTTCAAAAAAGTTGCAGAAGCGATTAAATTTATGCATGAAAATGGTGTTGTTCATGGGGACTTGAAGCCTGATAATAT